ATACAAATACATTCATTCCTTATGATACATTTCTTTTATGGTTCTGAACAAATTTTGCAAGAAGATATATTGTGTAATAATAGCTGAACTGATTTTGTAAGTCATATTATCTTTGTTTTATTTAAATTTTTGTACATTATTTAAATTTTTAAGTTATTTTTAATTTTGAAGTTTTAAGGAATGAGTTAAATACTTCCGTTTAATAATTTCACGCTTTCAAAATTTGTAACTTTGAATTATTTGTGTATGAAATGTAAATTTTTGTTGTAAAAACTATAACGTTAAAGATTAATTAGTGCGTAAAGTGTAAAAAAAATTATGTTAATTTTTTTCAAATCCAATATTTTTATTTTGATCTCCACAGGCGGTGTTGCGTAATTCAAAAGGAAAGCTCTCAACTTAACAAGATACTGACGCTTCAGATTACACTTGTTAATAGCAACTTAACACAGCATCAGTTGCATTAGGGCATAACTTTGATTGCAACAAAAGTTAACTGCAAGAAAGAAAGAAAAAGGACTAAGGACTAAGACATTTGCAGAAGAAACTCATTCATCTTTTATCTTTTCTAGTGCTTTAATTGTGCACGAACGCAAACTCGAATGCCAGTAACTTTTCAAGAGTTTCGCTGCACCGTTATTTAAAGTCAAATGTTGGCAGCGTCTTCGGAAACACCCAAACGCCCATTTAAAAGTTGAAATTTTGAAAATTTTTTTCTTCTCGTTTTACACATCTACGCTTTATCTACTTTGCAAAATCAAAAATCCGTCTACTTTAATAATTCTTCGTTGTTCCTATTGGACTTTCCTGCTTTCTTTGCAACTCCGTAAATTGAGATTTTTTTCACATTTTTTTGTTGTTTTTGTTTTTTTTGTAAAAGTTTTCCTTCCACTACTAGCTATATTTTTCAAATTTTTTATTTTCATTATATATAGTTTAATTTTTTTCTTTTGGAACTGCTACTTGCTTGTAAGCATAAATTTTAACAAGTCTTTTAGTTGAATTAAGTTGGCAGCACTGACAAAGTTTTGCAATACTTCATTGTGTAGCACTGGAAAGTCATTGAGAGAAATTACTGCAAATTTACATAGCTTTGAGGAATTTGAAACGAAATCTCTTTTAATGCAAATCTTGATTAAAATGTTAAATCGAAAAGTTTTTATTAAAATTTTAGCATAAAAATAAATTGCTTTATATGAAGTTTCTAAGCAGATTCATAAATAAACGATTCTGAAATTAGGAGAAAAAAATGGTGTTTGCGAGAACTCACCCGGTATTCCATAATCGCCGCTAAAACGTTTCGTGTCGTAATTCACAAATTTATCTACGTCAGGCGGCAGATGAAAAACATCTGTCAGCACCTCAGGCGGCTGCTCTTCCTCGCTGCCATCGTCCTTCTTTGGTCGTTCGATGCATAACAGTTTCGGCAGAATTTGTATAAAAAGACGCTGCACCCACGGTGCCATTTTATGCGTCACAGGAGATCTAAAAACGTTAACGGTGAATAATAACACAAGATAAACAATTAGCATCTTAAAATCATATAAAATGAAGGAAAAACTTAATTAGAGCTTAATTATTTTATATAAGGTTAAATTTGTTTTTTAAACTTTAAATTCACTTTTATTTAATTTTTTAATATATTACAAAAATTTTAAAATGGAAATATTTTAAAATGTACGGAATAGCTCTAAGCTAATAAACGTGGTCGTTGTAAGGGGGCGGTATCATTACAACTTCCATAGAACTGGCATTAGTTAAAAATATTACCATTCAAAATGTCAGGCAAAAGCTTTAAGTTATTTAAATTGCTTCTTAAAGGAGGTTTTGAATTATCATCCCTATTGCGTGACTGGAAAATAGGACGATTTGAGGGATTGCCCTAAGCTAAAGGGAACAGTTTGTATTAAGAAACTACTGTTGAAATGATTATCATCATAGTAGTCAAAAATTAGTTACAACTAGAATACACAAAAGTCATGACTGAAAAATAGAACGATTTAAGAGATTGCCCTAAGCTAAAAAGAACAGTTTGTGTGAAGAAACTATTGTTGAAATGATTATCATCATAGTAGTCAAAAATTAGTTACAACTAGAATACACAAAAGTCATGACTGGAAAATAGAACGATTTAAGAGATTGCCCTAAGCTAAAAAGAACAGTTTGTGTGAAGAAACTATTGTTCAAATGATTATCATCATAATAGTCAAAAATTAGTTACAGCTCGAGTACTCAAAAGTCATAAATTAATAATGATATAAAGGGACTTGTGTGATAATGGTAATCACACTGATTTTAATTGGTCTGTTGACAATTTTGTTCTGCACAAAGCCAGAACTAGGGAGCTTTTATTACTGAATAGAAAATATATTCGACTTGTTACATTGCGGAGTAAAAAAACGTATATGGAACATAGGTATTACTGGAGACATTGTTACGAAGAACAAGAAACAACACTGTGTCACTGTGTGGTCTCGCCAGACTCAGACTTCGGTACTTATCAACTGTCTATCCACTTACAACTGCATTAGGCAACATCTCTCCAAAGGACATAATGACATTTTTAACTGCTACTTCGTCTATGGAACTAAAGTGGGTTTGTCACAATAATCATTAAAGGACGCAGTGACGTGGTGTAAAGTTCTCAACCCGATTAAAATCTAATCTAATTTAAGGTCACAAAGAAGTTATTTGTAATAACACATAGAAGTTTTATAGTGCGCTATTTAATTTCTTGAATAGATATTCATCTAGTTTGGATAAGATAATCACTGTTTGGTTTTACTTTCACATACAATATCTTTTGCTTATTGGTGAATTTAAGAAATTCTGATAAGTACAAAAAAAAAATATGCCATAAGCAAACCATCTCCAGAAAATCAGTACAGTTTAGGTTTGATAATGTCATCCCACAAAAATGTTTTAGAAAATGGTAACTGAAAAATATTATAGGAAGAGTTTTGCTTCTACATTTTTGATCTTAAGAAATGGTCTCGATATCAAACAGAATATGTATGTTTGCTAAGTGAAGAAATATTCGACAAAGATATTCTGTATATATATTGGACAAGGAAACACTGTGTCGGTATGATTTAACAAACCATATCCTTAATTTGGACTTTGGACATACATAAAGCGTCACTATCGGACGCTTTGTATTCACTATTATTTCTCTAAACATAGTCGAATAAAATTTGTGTTAAATTTTGATACTTGATACTTTTCCGATTATCTACTATACCAATTTTGTTAATAATTTTTATTAATAATTTTTGAAAAATTTATAAAGTTATTTATAAAAAAGTGGACTTACCTAAAATTTACATTCAGCACCGCAATCGTCACAACAACTGACAGCGTAACCAGCATCATAGTAAATAGCAGGTATTTTCCTAGCAGCGGTACCGTTAGTGATGTCGGCGGTATAATTTCGGCGAGCAGCAGAAAAAACACAGTCAACGATAGCAAAATACTTATACAGAGTGAAATCTTTTCACCTGAATCGCTTGGCAGATAAAATACCAAAACCGATAAGAATGAAATACCCACGCATGGAATGATCAGATTGACAGTATAGAAAAGGGTCTTGCGTCGTAATGTTAAATTAAAAACAATATCTAAATATGGTTCCTCGCAACAACTATAAAATTTCTCATTACGTACAGCGGGCACTCGCATTATATCCCATTCTACGGATATATAATAATCTTGTAGGTCGATGCCAACTTCGATGTTATCCGAATCGGCAGTTTGTTTTAAATGGCGCAGATCAACCTGCAAAGGAAAAAAAAAATAAATTAAATAAAATAATTTTCATAATATATATATAGGTAATAAAAATTGAGCTTGATAATATACTTTCAGATCACAGTTTAATATAATTTAATGCAAAAGCTCGAGAGAAGATTGCGAAACAATTCTATGGAAAGGCGATATAATGCTAAATAGTTTCAAAAGCAATCAGAATAATATAATAGAATGGAATAGAATAAAAGGTTGCTAATCGAAAAAAAAATCAAACATACGTTGAGGATCTAATCAGCAATATGACATTCCCGTCCAACAATAAAGCAGCGATAACTTTACCGGCTATCAACATAGTCGTTGCTTCTAAGACCTGTCATTTCTTTTGTTAAAATGCCTTCAATATTTGGTTCAACAATAAGGCATATGCGTGAAAAATCCATAAAATTTGGTTAAAACGTATAAATAAGGTCAACAAATGCAAATTGACGACTCCGGAGAAAATTTTCGTATAAGTTTCAATCTTGATAAAAATTTTTCCAAATATTATTAAGAGAAATTCTTATAGTTTCAGCAAGCCTTTTAATTGTTTCTTAAGGAAAATTAAACACTATTTAATGAATAGTGTTGTATATTTCTTGGTCAATAGCAACTCTTTTTGGTTACCATTGATAGCTTTAAAAAGTTTCTTGCTATTGTATATAGAAGCGCTGAGTTCATCAAATAAAATCATCAAATATCTATTAAATTTACAATGAAGTATTATATTTCAAGTGGACAATTTCAATCCAGAGTAAAACTGTTTATTTCTGAGCACTTGCGTCGGTCAATTACAAAAATATATATGATATTTTGAATAATTTAAATAGTATTGTTCATAAACTGAATATAATATTTTTTGCCAGATGTTTGAAGTAAGACTTTTCGATTATACATGATGCATGTTTCTCATTGAGTAGTTTACTGTTCCACTGTAATAAGGCGGGTTTGTGCTCCATCAGATTAGTACCTGATCAAAGTACCTCTGGTTTTTCTGCATTATAAGTCATCCAACAGGATGAGAAAACAATTAGGACATCTG